AATTCCAAACTAAATTATTTATAAAAGAAGCAACAGTTCACTATTGATTTACAGTTGTGTCACCCCTTCCCACTAGTCCAAGACCCCTGAGGCAGGCACTTTGACAATCAACTTTGCATCCACATGTCACAGGACAAGAGATTGGACCCTCAGTCCTATCCCACCCTCCAACAACATGGTGGATAAGCCGGGAATGGGCTGCTATCCACTGCTCTACCTGCTGGGAATTGCAGGGATGGGCCAGGGGCCCTGCTCCCAAGCCTGGGAAAGGATCTTGGGACCCTCTGGTCAAGATTGAAAATAGGACTCCCCAGATACCAGTGAGGGCAGGTAAGGAGTCAGCGTTTATTGATTAGCAAAACAGCAAGACAGAGAACTTACGACAGTCCTCTCTGAGGTGCCAAGGCTAGAGGGTCTGTATAGGCTTCAGGACTGGGGTTTGAGAGCAAAGGGATTAAACTTTATTGCCTGAGAGAGCAAGGAGAGTGGACTTGGCTAAAGTCCATTTTTTTGTGGCTAATTGTGAGCACCAACCAGCTGCAGCTCAGTGGTCTTGCGGAGCTGGTGACCATCTCCAAGGGAACATCTCACGGGGGCTGTGTGCCCACAGTTCCAATTTGAACCAGTCTGATCTCAGGGTCGGATGCTCTTTTCTTCTATAGCAGCCATCTTGAAAAGCTGTAAAGAGATGGCTCAGGAATACCCAGGCTGGGGAGAATTAGTAACAAAAGCAGTGGGCCAAGGAAATTGATGGCAGCAGGTGTCTAGGCCTAGAGTCAACAGGTTTGTTTAACCTCTTACCAGCTTATGGGAATAGCAAAGTTCTGTCTTTAAGTCCTTGACTCAGAACTCTTCCTGTCTCACACATGTATACTGACACTTCCCCTTCCCTCTCAGTATCCTCTACTTCTCCTTCCTGCAGACCATAGGCCTTACAAAGTCTATTCCTGTTGTCCCATTACACTGAGTTCCATGGGGAATGGATATCTGGAAATCCTAGCCCAGTGCCTGCTGTGTTGTTGAGTGAATGTGTGATGAGTAAGATTAGCAGATACCTAGAGGGTCTTTGAGAATAAATTGAAAAGTTATTTCAAATACATACATGAATTCTAGGGTAGTGCCAGACGGTGTATGATCAAGTGGCAAATTATATACAATCAAGGGATAAAATGGGTCATGCAGAAATTGGATGGCAAAGGTGGCCAAGTCCACAGGTTCCCAGAGCCAGGTCAGGAACCAGGCAGGTGAGGTGGGCAGGACAGAGACTGTGGCCAACAGGAGTCTGCATCTCATCTCCAAGACAACCACTGCTCAAGTCTATATCTTTGTTGCCATTCTGGAATACGGGCCTGTGGTCTCATATCTTTAGTTTTCTTAAGTAAAGATGGAAATGAATTTTTTTTTTTTTTTTTTTAGAGGCATGTTTTTTTTTTTTATTTATTTGTTTGTTTTTGTTTATACATGCACTGGGTACAGTCAGAAGCGCGGGAGGGTGAGAGAATTCACCAGAGCCAGAGCGGGGAGCAGAGCAGGCAGAAGGACCGAAGTACACTGCTGAGGGGAGCAGCGGGCGGCAGGAGAGGTCTGCGCACCATGTGGGACCCTCCTCTGGTGGCCGGGGAGCAGCCGGGGATCGAACCGGCGCCACAGAGGCCGAGGGCAGCTTCGCAACCCAGCGCTCAACCACTGCGCCACCGGGAAGGCCCCTGGAAATGAATTTTTATGGGAGATTTCCCAAGCTTACAAATTAACTCAGTCAACAACTGAGTTAAATGTACAAAGCAATTATCTGAGATGAATCAAGCACGCCCGCATGCTCTCTAACCTCTGCCCAAGAGCTCTAGGATATCTGATGGAGGGAAGCCCTAGCCAGGCATTTGCAAGAAGCAGCTCCACAAGTGGCAGGTTTGCAAAAGGCAGTGTCTCTTCACTGGATCTCTCATTGTTTTATTAAAAAGCCAGGAAGTAAGTCTTGATCTACTACTCAGCTATGAAAAAAAGATGAATTGTTTCTATTTGCAACAACATGGATGCATTAGGAGGGGATTCTGCTAAGTGAACTAAGTCAAAAGGAGAAAGACAAACACTCATGATTTCACTCATATGTGGAATACAGTCAAATGAAGCAAAGGAACCAACAAAAACAAACCCTAGAAATCAAACTGCAGAACTGAGGCTATGGGAAAGGGAAGATGAGAAACGAAGCACCTTTGCTGTGGGGGAACAATGGACTGTGGTTGAGAATTAAGCTTTCCTGGTGGATGTGGCATGGTGACCCACATCTGAAGAGGTGTGACCACCTACCCCTAAATCATATACGATGTTGCAAACTTTTGTTATTTCAGTTAAAAAAAAATGAGACAATTAAAAAACAATCCTTGATCTATGGGCTAAGATTATCCTAAAGAATTCATCAAGCAAGTCTTGAACACCTACTAAGTGCTAAGCACTGGGATAAAAAAAAAAAAAAATTACTCAAAGCCTGTGCCCTCTTTTACTTTGTAGCTGGCCAGTTCAAGAAATGTTACTGAGCCTCTACTCTGCTGCACAGAGCTCATGAGGGCAAATAGCACAGACACCTGGACAAGTAGGTGCTTTTTTCCTTGCTATTCAGATTTTGGCCCAGAGGCTGGCAGCAAACTGCTATCTTACTGTGTCTTTCTATAGACCCTGTCATTACTAGGGCACCCCACCTACCACATGCCTCTTGGGGCAAAGTGGCTCCCTCAGCTGACAGTAGCCAATTTTCTAGTTTCATAGCCCTGGATTATCCATGACTGCTTTCCTAAGCCTAACTCCTACCTGCACTTACCTGGGAATGACATAAACTCACATAACAGCAGCCCCCAGTGCACGTGTTAATCAGAAATTCCCCAGGAGATGCATCCTGTCACATGGACCTGAAGCTGGTCAGAAAACACAAGTAATCTGTAGGTGCACAGAAGTTCCCTTTTGGTCTAACTTATACAGTGATCTCAGACTTGCTGAAGTACTAACTTCTATCACAGCCCTGCTAATATTGATTGCTCAGGCTCAAAAGTACATAAGTACATTGATTTTTTCCCCCCTCAAACTAAAAAGGATCGCAGTAGTGTTCGTATATTCCTGTTTCCCCTGGTTGGTATACATACTGAATAAATAATAGTGTTACCTGGAAAAATTTAGTCAAAAGAGATAGCGATGGAAAGCAGGGCAGAGGGGGTATGAGAGTGCATTTTTTTTAAAAAAATTTGTTTATGCGTATAAGAGCTGGGGTATAGGCCAGAGATGGGGGGTAGGGGTGAGTGATTCACTAGAGTGGGGAGCAGAACAGGTGGATCCACTGAAATAAACTGCTGAGGGGAGCAGCATTAGAGACAGGAGAGCTCTGCTGTGCCATGTGGGTCACCTCCCTGGCCAGGGATCGAACTCACTCTGCAGTGGCTGTGGACAGCTTCATAGTTGTATCTGAACCCCTTGCACCACCAGGGAGGCTATAGATTGCATTCTTAATTGCTAGAATGAGTCCAGTGAAAGCCTAAACTTGTGTGTTGTCAACCTTTCACTCCCAGTGTAATATTTAAAAAAAAACAAAAACAAAAACAAACACTTAGTAACCTATATCTTAGGTCAGGACAGAAATCAGCGAGGCCAGGGGTGAGGAGGAAGAGTCCTCTTGAGGTTAATTGGCAATATTTCTCTCCTGTCATTTCCTTCTGTAAGTCAGCAGGAAGGAAATATATCCACCAGAGGTCTCTGCTAATTTGTTCTTAATTTGAGGACAATTAAGCAATCCCTACACCCCATCCCCCCAAGAAAAACAACCAGAACTGAATGTTTTCTTTCATTGGGAACCAGTAATTCTCGAAACAAAAACGGAAGTTATGAAATCAACTTTGTGCTAAGTTCCAGGGACATCGAATAAACAGAGCACCGGGCTTGGAAGCAAGCCAGGAGTGAAGTCTTTACCTTCTGTTTTATATTTTTTTCCGTTCTGTGATTTTTTTTCCCCCCTAGCTGGAAGTTTCACAGCACTCCTGGAAATCCTTCTCAAGGGAGGGAGGCCCTCCTCCGGCTGGGACATCCCAGTGAAAAAATCCTTTCTGTGGCCTTTGACAAGCTATCCCTCCTAAGACAGAAGAGAAAGAAGCAAACGCCTGCTGGTGCCCTAAGCCTGCTCCTCCCTCTCCAGACACTGCGGGGAGACTAGAGGCAAAGGCCCAAGAGAAGCAGCAGCGAACTCCCCCCTCACCCCGTTCTGCACTGGCAGGTGGCATTTGCCTCCCAACTTCTTTTTGAAGTCAGAGCTCGGGGAGACCCTGAGCAAGCCCTGAGGACGCCACAGCAAGTCCTGGATACAAGGAGGCAATCAAGTGGGGTGCAGAGGCGCCGGCCCGGGGCCAGGCCCCCCCCCCCCAGCCGGCTGCTGACTTACAGGGAAATTTAAAGCGGCTCCAGCGGGGGCGTGTCTGGGGGGCGTGTCTGGGGCGGGGCCCCGCGGCCCGAGGGGCGGGGAGGGGGCGGGGCCCCGCGGCCCGAAGGGCGGGGCGGGGCGGGGGCGGGGCTCCCGGCGGCTCCGCGCGGGGCGGGAGAGACCCGGGCTCCGGGAGCGAGCGCCTGTCTCTTTAAACGCCAGGGGCTGCGCTCCCGCCCCGGGAGCCCGGAGCCGGATCTACACTCCCGGCCCGCCCGCCCCGGCGCTTGTTGCTCGCCCGGCCCGAGCGGGAGCTGCAGCCGCCGGGCAGCTCCACTGCGCGGCTCTCCCCGGCTCGGCCCCACCTCCTCCGGGAGCGGCCCGCGCGGGAGCAGCAGCGGCGCCGGGGGGAGGGCGGGGTGCGCTGTGCACGAGCCCCCACCTGCAAGTCTTCAGGTGCTTGGTTTCCGCGAGGACGAGACATGCGCCGCCCCCCCCGGCCCGGCCCCGCCGTCGCCCGCGCCACCGGAGGAGGGACTGCGGCGCCCACACCTGCAAACTCGCCCTAGAAGTCCCAGGGTGCGGCGGGGCGCCCCTCCCGCTCCGCCCGGCCGCCGCCTCTCCGCGGGGGAGCTTGCGCAGGTAACCCGAGCTCGGGGGGAGGGGCGGGCGCCACGGGCGAAGGCGCCGCAGGTGAGCCAGGTAGGGCGGCTCACCTGCCCGGGCGGCGCGCGCGCGGCTCGCGGGGTTCCCCCGGGAAGGAGGCGCGGGGGAGACGTCTCTGAGGCCAGCCGGAGCCGGGGGTGGGAGGGGGGCTGAGCAGAAGGGAGACCGGAGGAAAGTTTCTCTCCTGACCCCTCCTGCCTGCGCTCGGCAGGTGGGGCGCGGGCGGAAGCGGTGGAGTCGCTGATGCAACGGGCTCGGGCGAGGTGGCGGGCCGGGGGCGGGGGCGCCGGGCTCGCCCGGCTCCCTCTGACGGTGACCCCGGCGGGGAGCAAATTGGGGGGGCTCTTGTCGTCCAGGATGCCCCTTAAAATGGCTCCAGGTGCTCGGCCCCCGGCCTGCCTCTCTCCTCCGGCAGCGCCCGCCTGCTCCCGGAGGGGCTCCTCCTGCATGGCCTCCTTGCCTTCCTCTCCCAACAGGTGGGCCCAGCCCCTGTCCGGGCACCTGTGCCAATGACCCAGGTGGTGCTTTCGCTTTCTCCCCCCGCGGCGGCGTAGCGTGTGCGCGGCGCGATGGGCAACCAGGTGGAGAAGCTGACCCACCTGAGTTACAAGGAAGTTCCCACGGCCGACCCCACCGGCGTGGATCGGGACGACGGGCCCCGCATCGGGGTGTCCTACATCTTTTCCAATGACGACGAGGACCTGGAGCCGCAGCCGCCTCCCCAGGGGCCGGATCATGGGGGGTTGCCCGACGGCGGGGACGGGCCCCCGCGGTCCCCGCCGCAGCCCTACGACCCGCGGCTGCACGAGGTGGAGTGCTCGGTCTTCTACCGCGACGAGTGCATCTACCAGAAGAGCTTCGCGCCGGGCTCCGCGGCCCTGAGCACCTACACGCCGGAGAACCTGCTCAACAAGTGCAGGCCCGGCGACCTGGTGGAGTTCGTGGCCCAGGCGCAGTACCCGCACTGGGCGGTCTACGTGGGCAACTTCCAGGTGGTGCACCTGCACCGGCTGGAGGTGAGCAACAGCTTTCTGACGGACGCCAGCCAGGGCCGGCGCGGCCGCGTGGTGAACGAGCTGTACCGCTACAAGCCGCTGAGCCCCGGCGCCGTGGTGCGCAACGCCCTGGCACACGTGGGCGCCAAGGAGCGCGAGCTGAGCTGGCGCAACTCGGAGAGCTTCGCCGCCTGGTGCCGCTATGGCAAGCGCGAGTTCAAGATCGGCGGCGAGCTGCGCATCGGCAAGCAGCCCTACCGGCTGCAGATCCAGCTCTCGGCGCAGCGCAGCCACACGCTCGAGTTCCAGAGCCTGGAGGACCTGATCATGGAGAAGCGGCGCAACGACCAGATCGGGCGCGCGGCGGTGCTGCAGGAGCTCGCCATGCACCTGCACCCCGCCGAGCCGGACGAGGGCGACGGCGACCCGGTTCGGACTACGCCGCCTCTGGGGCGCCCCCCTGCGCCAGGCCCGGAGGGGGAGGACCTAGAGGCCGGGGTGCACTGATGGGAGAGCCGAGTGCAGAGCTGTGAATGGGAGCTGTTTGCAGCAGGCGCTGCCCCCTCCCTGCTCTCACTCCCTCCTCCTCCACCACCGTCTGGGCCCCATCTGGGCTCCCGGGCCATTTGGAAAACTGAGAGTTGGCGGAGTGTGCAGCCAGCTGTGGCTGGAGCTTGTTAGCTTGGACGGAGCAGGAGGGAGACAGGGAGCAGGTAGGAGCGCTTTGGCTGGGGGGCATTTCCTGCCCATACCCGAAGTCTGTCTTCCTTTCCCAGGTGGGGCAAATTGTGTGGTTTTGCCTGACACTTCCTGCAGAACCTGGGTCGGAAATCAACTCTTATGCATGTGCAAATGGGGAGGAAATCGGGGCACCTATGCCTGGCCTGCCATTACTTTCTCCTGGCTTCCTATCCCACTGGCTGGGCAGAGGCCCTGTGGAGGGAAGGCCAGAGCTGGCTTGTAGGCACTGAGAGCCACTCATCTCTACCCGCCCTTCCCAACCTCCCACGCTGTGCATGAATCCAAGAGCCAGGGTGATTTATTGTATGGGGTTCCTGGGGTGTAAGGCTGGCAAAGCCAGGATCAGATCTGGAATCAGCAGACCGAAACCTGGCAGCCCCCCATGAAGTGTAACAAATAGTGTGAGTAAACTTGGGCAACAAACAAAGAGTGCTACCTCCCTCTCCATCCTCAAGTCATTCATCTTCTGAGCTGGCTTCTAGCTGAGTCTCCTGCTCCCTCCTGCTCCGCCCACCACTTCCCAGGTTACAAGTAAATCATTGTCATGGACCTGCCAGGGGAAGGATTCAATTATGGTTCTGTTTTGCCACCTTTGTTTCTTGCCTCCCATTGTAGGCACTTACAGCTGTGTTATTTGTTATCAAAGGAGGGAATAGCTCTTGTGTCTCTGATCTAATTAAACCTGCTTGGCTGTGTTCATCAGCAGGTCACACATGGTTGGCTGGCGCCACCCCATAAAATATCCACTACAGAAGCAGCCAAACAGTGCTGCTTGGGCAGGAATTAATCTCCTCCCTTGCTCTGAACGTAGCCCCTTTCATGAATGTTAAAGGATTTTTGAAAGGGAAGATTTTCCTGATCCTGTGACTCCCCTCCCACCCTTGCCAGACCATTGTCACTTTTGTCCTGCTGGTGGTAAAATCTTAGGCTGGAGGCATAGTTCAGTGATAAGATACTAATTTGCTGGCCACACTTGATGCAACTTAATTCTAGAAGCAGAGTCTTGGTGTAATACAGCAGCCTGCTTGATTGTTGCTTGGAGAGCATCCTTCAGAAAGCTTTCTCATTTAAGAGGGGCAACCATAATCACAAATACATGCTACTTGGTGTAATGAGCCTGGAGTCTGGTGACAGCCCTAAAGATTTGGGATCTACAGGCAGCAGGCTGACCCATACTGTTTGGACCTGCTGCCAGGTGCCTCTTGACTGAGTCCTTTAAGAACATTGAGACCCTGTCTCTGGACCCTTGTGCCCCTCTGCGCCCCTTGAGTGTCCATTTCAGAATGCTGCGCATGAGCAGTGCTAATGCTGTTACTCTACTCAAAGTTGAGTAAAGTTTTCTCTTGGGAGTCATTCTAGAGTGTCCCAAATAAGTCATCCTGTGACCTACTTCTGAGAGTTGGAATAGATTCCTTCTCAAGTGCTCCATCCTTGGGCCTCTCGCCCGGAAGCACCAAGGCTTGAAGGATCTGCTCATATGGGTGACTTTTCTCAAAATTGAACTATGAGACCATGACTTTTAAAAGCCTAGAGCTTGAGAGTACCTTGACACGCAACCATTTAATTCCAGGGGCATTCAGATCTGTTTCCTGTTCTCACAGGGATCATTCAGCCTGGCTTGTCCCTTTGACTGTTAACACTCTGAACCCCACTCTGCCCTAGTCTGGGACTTGAGAGAAACATCAGTCTCCTGTAGGATATGTAGGTCTGGTTTCATGTTTAATTATCCTCCGACTTCGTGTTTATAGTCTCTTCTTCAAGCAGGTGTGGAGCAAGATAACCATGGGTAGACATTCAGAGGGGTCCACCTTCCCTAACTTGGACTTTTCACTTTTGCTTAACACAGCAGGGAGGGTTGAAAGTGAGGTCAGTGTGCAGATAGCAGGAAGGAGCACTGGGCCAGCCATTGCAGCCTGGGGCCTCTGGGCTGTGGCCAGGCTCCCTTGTGCCTCCTTTACCGTCAGAGGGAACTGGAATGTCCTGGGTCTCACTGAGGCACAGCACTCACTCTCTGTGGTTACCAATAAACTGTTTTTATGAGCAGTTTCAACTTGGAGGATGAGCACCTATAAAATCCATACCCCTAGCAGCTTTCCAGCTCTGGAGAAGTTTTCGGTATCAACTTGAAAATGAACTAGAAGATGAAATAGATCTTCTCCAGATGCTGATTTCCCAGGTGTTGCAAGTGATGTTTGCAGAGTCCCAGGATGTGAACAATGTAATGCTTAGGAGCAGTGATTCCCTTTCTAGTGCTTAAAGTACAGCCCCAAGCCAGCCGCGCAGAGAGGAGAATCCTCTAGATGGGGAGTGTTGGGAATAATTGAGTTTTTGATGCCCAGGAATGGCTACACCTGGCACTAAAAAAAAAAAAAAAAAAGGTATATTTAATAATTTTTGTTTCTCTTTAGGACTAAGACTTTAGAACTGTTTTGTACTGTGAAATACGAATGCTATTTGGAGGAAGGAAATAGCAATTTTACAGTTCTTCAGAAGCTGTGACCAGGATAAGCAGGACCCCCACCTGGAACGTATGCTAAATGTAATCAGACAAATTCTATTTTCTTACCTGAGCAAATATTTTATTGCGACTGCTTCTGTATGTCAAAGGAGTTCACAACGTCAGTTCACGACTTTTTGTATTGAACTCATACTTTTTGTAGCTTTTATTCCACAATTTAATTTAAAATGACTTTGTAGCACTAACACGCCTAGCAAAAGACTTAACTCTAGAACTTTAAGGAAATTTTTAGTTTTTATGAAAAATGACACTTCAGTGGTTAAACTCCTCATGTCTTTGGTGCTCCTGGCCCTCGTAGCACCGCTAGACTACACCACAGCCACATGGAAACATATTTTTGGAAGCAAAACTTTAATTTTATACACATATGCTATGGAGAGTGAAGAAAATTTAAGGACTACTTGTTTTCTATTTTTTTCTTAGCAAAATGGAACCCACTGTGTTGAAGACTTGCTATTATGTGATTTATGTGATCGTTCAACCATTTTTTATAAATGAGAGTAAGATCTTGAAGTGACCACGGCCATTGAAAGGATTTGTTTGGAAAGTTACATTTTACTTGCAAAATTTTTTTGTTTTTTTTAAATCAGGGTAACTATAGATGTGTCTGGTTTGTTCAGCTTGTCCATTTTGTTAAAGTTTCGTGTTTAGCTATACTACTTGAGACCCATGAAGAATTACACTGACATGATAAATTCCACATGCATTTTATTTCCCCAATGAATTGTGTAACTTTATTTTTTTGTTGAAGATCATATGTTTAATCAATGTTATATTTCTCATACCACTTCTTGAGAAGGAAGTTCCAATTTGAAATTGTATCATTTCCTTCAAAATGAAGGGCAGTGCTTAGTTAAATAAAAGATTGATGACATCTTTTAAACCATTTCCTCTTCACTATGTCTTATTAAAATAAAATCTGTCAGGGCTTTCTGGAAAGTGCTATGAGAGTTTCCCATAAACCATCTATTAGACATAACTGAATTGATAGTTTATATTTTTCTACTTGTGTATCTTTTTCTGCCACTTTTTTGGTTCAAATCCAAGCCACTCGACTTAACTGCAGTTTTGCCTAGAATATTGGTGCATATCATCTTTACATTGCTCAGTAAACATTCTGATGAATTAATTTTGGGACTGACAGCCCTCTCTGCATTTACTTTGTAAGAATTAATCATCCACTGTTCATGAAAAATGTCTCATGAACATAAATTTTCAATACCCACTGATTCTCAGAATCAATGCACACACTGCTAGAAATGATACATTTTGGAATCTATGCTGGGGAGTTTTGGTATTAAAAGCCCAGTGACCCATTTACACCCTTGGTGGTTACAGACTCCCAGAAAAAGGGAGTGGGCTCACTGAGTGATTAGAGGAAGCGGCATGTGACTGGGTAGAATGGGTGGCATGATGAGGGATGCAGGTGGCAAAGGAGCAGATATGGCATGTGGGAAGCCAACACATGCCTTAGGCCAGCATGAATCCACTCCCACGACGAAGGTCAAAAGTCTGGGCTTTGACAACGGGCTCCTGTGAGAATTTTAAATAGGAAGAAAGTTGAACGCTCAAGGTGGTGGGCAACTCAGGCAGCTGTGAAACCCTTTGCCCTAAATGGGCACCCTTGACCTATTGCGGTTATTGCACAAAGAGATGGGGTGAGGGGAGCCTTGTACAGAATGTGCACTTGGGGGGATTTTGGTGTAGGGTTCTGTTCCCGTACCTCATGACCAGCACTTGTTTAGTGAGGTAAATGCCATGTTTGGGAGAATTTAAAAAGAACTCCAGAATCAACAGCTCAGAATGTGTGCAGAAGGGCTTTTTATTTCTTTACTGGATTTACCGGGAAATTTGTTTATGATCAAATACAGCAATTTTATCTGCAGAGTAGATGCAGGGGTGATTAGAGTTTGTATTTGCAACGATAGAAAGTACTAAGTGCTTATGGAGGTTTTGAAGATGCTCACCCTTAGCCTAGGTACTAGGGAAAAAACAAATCCTGTGAAAGTCCCTGCTCCTAGGCTTGTTTCTAAGGAGCAATCAATTTCACTCGTGTAGGACAGATTATCATACAAGGCAGCCCTAAAAAGTCCTGGGAAATATACAAATAAACTGTCAGGTGAGTTCAATTAGAGTTTGAAAATGGAATTAGGAATGTGGAGTGGGTACGCCCGCTGGAGAAATCAGACCGAAGGCCTGAAGGTACAAATGGTGATGCCAAACAGGGGGTGACTAATACTCGTGAAGGACTTCACTACGAGGCTCCTAAATTCCCACCCACACCCAAAGATAAATCAAAATCCCTAGTTCTTTGGTTTTGGATATCTTGCATTCTAATCAGTAGATAACTATTTACCAAAAGAAATTCCAAGAAGATATTTAACTACAGGTGTGATAGTGCATTGTAGGAAAGGTTGACTTTCCATCAGTGAGTCAGTGATGGCTTCCCGAAGTAGCATTCATGCCGAACTTTGGAAAAGGTCAAGAAAAACAGGTGCTTCAGGTGAGCACTCATGACACTGATTAAGGGAGTGAGAGTGGGGAGTGCGTGAGCGGATGTTGAGTGCCCTCACAATGCCTTCGCTCTGCTCCTGCTAGCCAGCTAGTTCTTGAGATTCCCTTGCACACCTGCTGTCTAACTTATTCATATATGAAACACTTAAATCAGGATCAGGTAAAGAATGGTTAAGACCAAAGTTGGAGTGAGTGAGTGGATGTTGGGATTGGATTAGCGAGACTAGAGAACCCTCCTATGATCCCAAGGTGATGTCACGGGTACAGTTTTGAAGAAGGTAAAGCAGCTGTGGATTTTTAAGGATGGATTGAATGGGGAGTTCAAATAACTACTCCCATCTCCTGGAACTAAAGGCTGTACTGCTGATGCTATTGATGACTTAAATTGCCAGTCAGTTGATGAAGTAGAGCATGAATTCAGGCCTTTGTCCAAAGCAAGTGATAGGAGAAATGAATGGTACAGGCCAGATTGGATGAGAACAATTTCTTATATCCGTAGGCTATCCGAATGTCTTCTTTAGAAAAGTGTCTATTTAGATTTTTTTGCCCATTTCTTTTTTAAATTAGGCTGTCTGGTTTTCTTGTCATTGTTTTTGTTGGATTGCCTTTGTATATTTTGAAGATTAGGCCCTTGTCAGACACATACCTGTTTTTGTATGTGCCTGGTGGATGGTGTAAGGCATTATGAGAACAACTACGTTAAATTGCTAATTAACTGCTTATTTTTTCACAGTGCTCTTCAGTTAAATTACCAAAAACTCTGAAGGGATGTTAATTTCACTGTAGTAAAGGTGTCCTCTTATCTTTAGCACCACCATCTGCTGACTTGGGGCTTACCCAAGCAGATTCAATAAGGTGAGGAGTGAGGTTGTTCTTGGTGTGTTTGTATCATTAAAGTCACTGTTTTGTTTTTTTGAGATTTATTTATTTATACAAGCACTGGGTACAGTCAAAAGCGCAGGAGGGTGAGAGAATTCACCAGAGCCAGAGCACGGAACAGAACAAGCAAACCGACAAAATACACTGCTGAGGGGAGCAGCAGGCACAGCAGGGGAGGTCTGCGCACCATGTGGGACCCTCGCCGGCAGTGGGGATCGAACCGGCACTGCAGAGGCTGCAGGCAGCTTCACAGCCCAGTACTCAACCACTGAGCCACCAGGGGAGGCCCCAAGGAGTCACTGGTTTTTTAACATGATGAAGGTTTCAGGTGTACAGACTTGGAAATCACTATCTGATAGACTGCAGTGTGCTCACCAAAGCTTCAGTTTCCATACAGTTGACCCCGTTTATCCAGTCCCCCCAACTCCTCCCCCATCCCTCTGGTAACCACTATTTTGTTCTTGTAGTCTAAGACTTTATTTTGTTCACTTTTTTTGTTTCCTTATTTTCTACATACTGGTTCTTAGGAGTGGAGAGGCTTTGTGGAAGGTATGACTGGCTTGATCAGGCCTAGGCGGAGCCCCAGTACACCCCTTGTCCGTCACCTGCTTTGGGGGCTCACTGACTCAGAGGAGGTGGACTGTTTGTACAGTGGGAATAGTATGTCACCTTTTGGGTAGTTAGAGGTGACGTACCTAATCTCTCAGAACTAGTCCTACCTGAGGTGATAGGCGCAGAGAGAAGCTGCTGTCATCACCCATTTTCCCTTTTCCAGTTTTGCCTGGTGTTCCAGACTCATTATCAAAATCTCATAAGTGGATTTCAGATGGGAGCAGATGAAATTTCCAAACTAAACCAGAGTGAAAATGGTGGGAGATGGTTGCAAATTTGTTTTAAGAATGGTTAAAGCCATTGTCTCCAGGTAAGGAAAATGTCATAAATGTATGTCTTATGCGTGCACACACATGTACACTCACACACTCACCTCACAAGCCTCATTTCTTCAGAACCTTTGAATTCTACCCTACCTGACACCTAACAGGTGAAGATTGGGACTCTGATAATATTATAAAGCTCCAGCTGCTTTCATACCTCCCTGGCTAATACCTCCCTCTGCCTGCCCCAATTCTCTGAATGTAATTTTATTACTTTTTTTTTTTACATTTCAAAATAATATGTTCTTGTCATAGATTATATGACCTCATTTAACCTTAACTACTCCTATAAATACTCTATCTCTAAATGCAGTCATATTTGAGGTACTGGGGTGAGGACTTTCAACATATTAATTTGGACAGGATCACAATCAGATAGATAACAGTCTGGGTGCAAAGGAAGAGCCGGTTCTGGAATCCAGATCTTCAAACTCTAAATCCACTCTTTCTTTAGGCAACATCTTTCAGCTCCATCCCATCTGCAAACTGTTGACCCTACAGGCACTGTTCTCTGCATGGCTCATTTATCATCTGTAGTCCTCAAGCACCTGCTTTGTATCAGCTGCTATTTTAAGTGCCGGGGTCAGAGTGGTGAAAAGCACAGGCAAAGGCCCTGGTAGGGAGCTACCTGTTCTAGCCAGGAGGCAGTCATAGGATAACCCACCAAGATCAGTGTGACACAGAATTAAAACAGTGATTTGAAATATGATCACTCAGTCCTTATTCAGATGGAGCAGGCATCTTCAATGGAAGTGACACTGAAGCCCAAATTTCAAGGTGATCAGAAAGGCAAAGTTCTCGGGGGAAAGACTATGAGGAAGAGGGACACAGAAGTGGGAGTGTCCAGGACCAAGAACCAAGTCGGTGTGGAAAGTAAAGCTTGAGAAGAGAAGGTCTTGGTGGCTTAGGATCTTCTGCAAGCCAGGCTTTGTCCACATGTGTTCAAATCAATTAACACCTGATTGTGGAAAGGAAATCCTGCCCTTTGTGCCAACATATGGTGTTTCGTTCAAAACTCCAACAGGATTTGGAAGGCTGTGACTGATTCTCATTTTACAGATGAAGTTATGACATGTCCAAGGTCACCGAGCTGTAATCGCATCAGACAGGTTTCAGCCCACAGTCACATGTTCTTTCTGCCACGTGAGCAATTACACTCACTCTCATTTGCAAGCATGTCCTGAACTGCATCATCCCAAGGGCTTCTCTGCCCAGGTCCGCAAGTGCTGCTGAAGTTGACAGAGGAGAACATTCGTTAGATCTTCTTTGGTGGCCCTGTTACTCTGAGAAATGAGTTGGTAAGGGCAAGAAACTGATCCCCCCTGAGGCATGACAAAGAGCGAAGGGAAGAAGGGAAACCCCTGCTCCAAAGGGCTTTAATATTTTACTTAACTTTTTATTTGGGCATCATTCCAAAGTTGCTTGAATAAGTATATTGTAAAAGAACCTCTGTCAAGACTTTATGGAGATTCAACTACTGTTAACATTTCATTCCATGGGTAAAGTACAAGTGGGCTAAGTGCTTTTTTTTAAAGATTTATTTATGTATACAAGAATTGGGGTGTAGGCAAGAGGTTTGGGGGCGTGAGAAGATTCACCAGAGACAGAGTGGGGAACAGAACAGGCAGATGACGGAAATACACTGCTGAGGGGAACAGTGAATCAGAGAGGAGAGGTCTGCTGTGCCATGTGGGTAGCTCCCTGGCCTGCCTGAACTCATGTTGCAGTGGCTGGTGATAGCTTGATAGCACTGAGACTTTAACCCCTGCACCACCAGGGAGGCCTTGGGTTAAGTGCTTTTGATGTGATTCTGGCCCATGGACTGTGGCTTGCAGCTTCTTTAGTGCTCACTTGAATTGTCCCCCAGTCCAGCATCCTTCAGCGTTCTTTCCTATCTGCCTTCCCACCTTCAGTTTTGCACAATTTGCCCAATTTTTCCTTCTCTCTCTCTCAGTGTGGCTCTGCTACTGATCAGCTTGCCCTCTGATCATGCCCTACCATATCGTGACCTTTATTGGAGTGAGTTTTCCTTCTTTAAAAAAATATGTAAAACTTATGCTCAGAGTAAAAAAAGTTAGATAGTAAAAGAGGGTATAGAGAGAAAAGGCATGTTCTCATTCCCCAGTCCCACTCCTAGGGGTGCAGGTGGCATTCCAGAATGTTCTGCCCATATAGCAACAAAAAATATTTTTCTTTCAAGAAACCATACCTGGGATCATGTTTTACCTATTTGTCTATATGTTTCAAAAAAAATAACCATGTTATTCCCAGGGTGACGTTTAGAATTAGTTTCCTTATCTGCAAAACATGGGCCTGAGTGTTTGTGAAGATTATGCAGAATCATGTGGTGGAAAAAAAAATAGCCACAGTCCACAGTCCCAAGCCCTGAGCAAAGGCCCCGAGAAGTGCAAACACATGTCGTCAAGGACGCCTAAGCTCCTTGTGGCCTTTGTACTGCGGTACCAGCTGTCAGTTAATCTACTGAAATATTTCCAGCCGAACCCCAGCCCTCACCACTGCCATGTCCTCACCTCCTTGACCACCCAGACACTCCCTTGGGACCCCAGTGGGCACTCCCACAATCTAACTAACGGGGAGAGTTCTGCAGAGCCGGGGCCCCAACACCCTGCTGCAGCAATG